TGCCTTAATGCTGAGTATAGATAAACAATAAGGAATGAGAAAGCAGATAATGGCTGTTCCCACGATATGCTGACTGTGAGGGGATGGCTTCTAAACAAATAGAGAAATAGGATATAAGAAGGAAATGGAAAAATATAAATAGGTAAAATAAAGCATTATATGGATAAAAATATGGAACAGAAATATAAAATATGATATAAAATAAATATATAGTGAAGTCTGTAGCATAGTCAAAATAAATATACAGGAAATGAAATAGGGCTGGAGTAAACAAAGTATAGGCTTGTTTAATTAATATCTTTGATGAATGTATATTCACTGGCAAAGCCCATGTCTTATTAAGACCTTTTTTGTGGGTTTTTAGGCAGAGAATCCAACGGATTTCCGCACTACGTCTTTCTTTGGTAGATATGAAATTACTTTGTAGAATAATAAATCGCATGTCACTGGCATTATGGTTAGGTAGACTGAAATGAGCTGCAGCAGATTTGCTCATGTCTTTGCGTCTAATAGTGCATTTGTGATTATTAAGTATCGCCCTGATTTTGGTACCCGTTTCACCTATGTAGTTTCCATGGTTACACTTAATACAATAGATGAGATAAATAACGTTAGAAGCATGGCAGTCTAGGTTGGGGGGTGTACGATTTCCGTGGATCCTGGTATTTTGAATCTATGTCCTGTAGTGATTATGTTACATAATTGACATCTAATGTCTTTGCATGGTTTGTTACCTGTGTTTGTGGAGAGGTGGTCAGTTGGTAGTTTAGATGATGTTATGAGCGATTTAAGATTGGGGGGGTTGTCTGCGCGCGATTATGGGTGGTTTGTCATAAAGGTGGGCGATGGATGGGTCTGATTTGAGTATTTTGTAATCAGTTTTAATGGCATCTGTAAATGGTTTGGTGAGAGGGTTATAGTCTAATATAAGTGGTATGCAGTTGCTATTAGGCTTTTCGTTGTATGTGAGGAGATTTGTTCTGGTTTTAAGTGTAGCCTTAGCTACGGCAGCTTTAATTAATGGCAGTGGATAGTTGCACTTAACAAAATTAGATATGAGTGTGGATAGTTTTTTGTGATAGTCGGTGGTGTCAGAACAAATTCGTTTAAGACGGAGGCACTGGCTATAAACGATAGACTTTTTCAGGCTTGTGGGATGGAAGCTGTTGAAGTGAAGATATTTATGGTTGTCAGTGGGTTTGATGTGGATGGATGTAGAGATGGTACCATTTTTGAGTGTGGAAGTTATATCTAAAAACGGGATCTGAGAATTCGATGATTCGAGTGTGAATTTTATGCCGGGATGAAACCTGTTGATATGGGTTTCAAACTGGCTGAGTGCGTTAGGGCCGTGTTCCCATATTATGAATATGTCGTCTATGTATCTAGTATAGAATGTGGGTTGAAGAGGGAAACTAGATAACATGCGTTCTTCTAAGTGGCCATGAATATGTTGGCATAACTAGGAGCCATTTTAGTCCCCATAGCTGTACCTTTAGTCTGTAGATAGTATTTCCCATTAAATGTAAAGTAGTTATGTTTTAGGATGTAATTAATGATAGTGCAAATATTATCTATGTTGTGTCCGGTGTTATGTCTAGTGAGGAAATTCCTACAAGCAACTATACCTTCGTTATGGGGGATATTGGTATATAAGGAAGAGACATCCAAAGTGACAAGCATAGCATCAGTTTTAAGTTCTTTCAGTTCATTGATCTTGCGAAGAAAATGGGTGGAGTCCTGTGTGTAGCTGGGAATATTGTGTAGAAGAGGGTTAAGGATTGAATCGACATATCCGGATAAATGTTCTGTCAGTGTGCCTCTGCCGGAGATGATGGGTCTGCCTGGTGGTCTAATGTTGAGCGATTTGGCTAGTTCGTAGATGGTAGTAAGAGTATCGAGTAGGGGCGTTCTTGGTTTAGTCGCATCGGCTATCAGTTTAGGCAGTTTGTGTAATTTTGGTACACAGTAGAATGTTCCTGGTGTAGGCATAAGAGGTATAAGGACAGATTCATCACCTTATATACCAATATACCTCCGTCTTAAACGAATTTGTTCTGACACCAACGACTATCACAAAAAACTATCCACACTCATATCTAATTTTGTTAAGTGCAACTATCCACTGCCATTACTTAAAGCTGCCGTAGCTAAAGCTACACTTAAAACCAGAACAAATCTCCTCACATACAACGAAAAGCCTAATAGCAACTGCATACCACTTATATTAGACTATAACCCTCTCACCAAACCATTTACAGATGCCATTAAAACTGATTACAAAATACTCAAATCAGACCTATCCATCGCCCACCTTTATGACAAACCACCCATAATCGCACGCAGACAACCCCCCAATCTTAAATCGCTCATAACATCATCTAAACTACCAACTGACCACCTCTCCACAAACACAGGTAACAAACCATGCAAAGACATTAGATGTCAATTATGTAACATAATCACTACAGGACATAGA